ATATATGCAAGTAACAATAAATTGAATTTTAGAGAAGAGAAGTAAGAATCAAAGAATAGAATAACAAACAAGAATAAAAAGAGAGAAAAAACAAGAAAACAAAAGATGAAGGATTTAATTAAAGATATGAGAAATCTAGAATTGAATCCACTAGTTAATCTCAATTATTAAATACAAACTATTCTCTTGTTATCATATTTCAATTTATATTTATTAAGTATAGACTATCAAATCATTTAAGGAAAGTATAACCTATCAAATTATCATCTAAGTCAAAATAAAAATCATGATAGGAACAACAACAAGATAGTAATCCTAGAATTCATAAGTATAACATATCAAACCATTTAAGATAAATATAGGTTATCAAATTCTTCTTCTATCAATTAGTTCTCTAGTTGATTATCCTAAACATGATCATTTTAAGTGTAAGAGAATAATTTGCATAACATACAGGAAATTAGACTAGTTTCATATAATTCTAAGATACCTACAAGAATTAATTTCACATATTAAGAAATAAAAACAAGAAGGAAAAAAAACTAATTAAAAAAATAAAAAGAAAATAAAAATCTAAACTATGAACAAGAAAATAAATCTACTCTACAAATTAAAGTGCAAAAAGAACATAAAAAGACAAGAAAATAAATCTATACCACAAGCATGAATGTAAATCTAATTAATAAGCAATAATAAAGAAATTACTAAAAAGAAATAAAGAGAAAAATAAAAGAAATGCAAAGCTCCAAATAATTCTTCATCTCCATCTTCATCATCCAACAAAGAGAAGAAATATTTAAAGTGGTGAAAAAATTTATTTTATTAATTATAACAAAAGTTACAAATTTGGAAGGCCTTCTCAATTAAGAGTGGCCCTCCTCTTCAAATAGAGTTATAAAAATTTTTACACCTCTAACCCCTCACTCTCTACCCCTATTTATAGTAAACATCAGTGATTGAGAACCCTTGGATTGAAATCTTATCCAAAAATATCAATTTTTAGCCTTAGATTCGTAGCTGCCTGCCGGAGCTATCGATAAGGGCATCGATAGGCTTATCGATGTGCCTATCAATGTGAGCTGCTTCCCTTTTGCTGTTCGGGCTTCTCTTCTTCTCTTGGGCTTAGGCATTCACTTTGGCTTTTCTTCTTCTTTTATTAGCTTGGGCTTTTGGATAATTTGGCAATTCTTCTTTTGGCTTTGGGCTTCAACTATAAAAATGATTTTGAAATTTTGTTGATGTTTTTCATTAATTTGTGGGCTTTATTGAGAGATGAGATTTTTGGAATTTATTCTTCATTAACATGCATTTAAAGATAAAAATAATTATTAGTGACATATTTATTCATATAAAATAGATAATGAGGGTATAAAATCTATACTACTTATAAAAGAGAATACCCATGTTAAAACTTTTGATTTCCTTTTTTACCCTCTCAATTTCTTATAACTCAAAATTATACCATTAATTATAAAACTAATGATCCATAACCTCTCATTAACTATGCACCTTTTCATTTCTCAAATTATTTGGTCATTCGCTAGAATATATTAATAATTTATAATGATAAAAAATTATGAGTATATGATAATTTATTGTAAAAAATTATTAATTATATAAAATAGTAAAAGTCATTCATTTAATAAATTTTTGCACATAATTATAATTATTAATAATAGTATAAATAGGGGTTATTTCTTTATGTTATAAAGAATTATTACAATGTTGATAATTAATAATCATCTTTAGTAATAAAAATTTGGATGTTATATAATTAAAAAATACTTTTATTTTAGGCAAAGTAGAGAAAATTAATTTATATAAAAAAATTGAATTCTTAAAATTATTATGCCAGGCATATACTTTTCTCTTTATTTTCTTCAAAATATTTGGCCACTAGCTTTAGAATATACTATAATTTTATGACTGATAATAAAAATTAATAAAATATATTATAATTATTATAAAATACTTTATTCAATTGTAATGAAATAGCTAAAATTATTTATTTAATTAAAATATGTAACTTAATTTAACTATTTAATAATAGTATAAATAGGCTGTTTTTATATTATCAACAATTAATACCCTTTTCTATATTATAATATCGTCTTAGCTCATAAAAATTAGACATTATGAACATAGCCGTGCAATAAAATCATTGATCTATTGGCAAATTTATGGCTTCATACATTTTTTGGAAAGTAAATGTCTCATATATTTCAAGGATCCAATATTTTTATATAAATTAATTTTTTTAAATTATAGTATTTTTAGTTTATACCATCCAATTTTTTATTACTAAGACGATATTAATTATCAAATAAGATAATATTCTTTAAATTTTAATATTAAAAATTATTGCCATTATTTAATAGATATTGTAATAAAATATGTACATGACATAAATATTTAATAATTTAAATAGTTTATTTATATCAATAGCGTTACTTAAACTAATGATTACATTATTATTTAATAATTATACTCCTAAATAAATTGTTTAATAATATAATAATAGAAAATTTTAAATAATTATTAAATGTATGTTAATAATAGTATAAGTACTAATATTAGTATAAGTTAAAAATTTTAACCATAGTGCAATAAAATAATTTTTAATGGTTATGTATAATTTATTAAATAATATAATATTATGGAAACATTATATAATATATAATTTATTAAATAAGTTCAATGCATACTTATGGAAAGATTATGAATTTTAACTCTTATAGTTTTTTAATATGCATCACGTGCAACTGACGTATTGCATACTAGTTATAATAAAATGTGATTATCAGAAACCCCCATCGACTATTTGTTTACGAGCATCAACAATTATAAAATCCATAACTTATTAATGATGAAATAATAAATTATAACAAATATTAATGGTGTAATAATAAAATCATATATAAAAATATTATATAATATTATAAAAATAGTATATTATTACATTTTCATTAATAAAAATTAATATATAGTGACAATAATATTTATATAATGTTAAAATAGTAACGTAAAAATTATTATGTAATGTCATGGTAATTATATTAATAACATATTAATATAAACAATAATTAAATATATTAATGTTTGAAGATAATATTTTATTATTATAATATAATGTTATATTAAAAATATGTTGTAATATTTAATATTATAATGTCTTAATTATATATATGATATTTTAATACATTAATTTTGTATACTATTATAGTATATCATATTATAATTATCTTTAATATATTAGTTAATATGTTTAATACTAATACTAATCGCATAAATAGTTGAACTATTGTTGACCAAAACACTCACTATATAGTAGTTTGAAAACACTTTTAGAGAAAGACCACATAAAAATCACTGCAGTATGCAAAGATACCCTAAACTTATTAGTGGCTACCTATTTTGGTATAATTTTAAAAAATTCCTCTATATTTACTGTGCAACACTTCTTTTCCAAACAAATCCCCGTAAATACGGCTTCTAAGCATCTCTTTATCATCATTGCAAAAAACATTATCTTGGGCTAAAATATTACTTTAGCCCTATAAAGTAACACCCTTTAATCAATAAGACTTAAAAAGTAACGCTAGTGACAATAACATCTATAAATTGATACAATTAATCACTTGCACTTATTTCAGTTGCTGGAGTTTTGGTTTGGGTGGGAAATTAGTATTTTTGCATATATACCTCTCATATCTCTCATACTTACAAATTTATCCTCCAAATTAAAATACTTAGATAAAAACTCAACCTCTCTACTTTCCTTCGCCACTTCTCTCCTTCCTTCTCCACTTGTACTTAACGTTTGAGGGGAGAGAGGAGTGAAAGAAAAGGATAAGAGGGGAGGAGAAGACTAAGATGAGAGAATAGAGAGAGGTTGGGAAGAGGAACATGGGTGGAGAAGGTGGTAAGAATCTGATGATTTTAGGGCGGAAGGGGTGGGGGGAGTAAGAGAGGGGAGAAGAGAAAGATGAAGCAGATCATGGAGAAAGAGAGAGCATTCTGGGAAAGAGGAAAATAAAGAGGGAGTAATTTTAGGGAGGAGGAAAGTGGAGAGACGAGAGAGAAAGAAGATGAAGAAGACGAAAGAATAGTTTTTTTATATATTTTTAATTTTGAAGGGTAAATTTATAAGTGTGAGTAATATAAGAGCCTATATGTAAAAATCTATAAATTTTTGCGCTTAAATTAGGAGTTCGAGGATTGGAATAGATGTAAACGATTAAGGGGGTGTTTGTTTCACCAAAAATTTTAACATTTGGTATGGATTACAAGTTTTAGGATCAAAAAAAGTGAGTTTTTTTGTATTTTGGGATTCCATATATGGTGTTTATTTTGAGAAAATTTTTAGAATATTGAATCACAAAAGTGCAAGAAGTGCTCAATTTTTAGAATATGTCAAATCCTCACAATTGGAGAGGATTTTGACAAATCTCATAAATGAGTGTGCTTACCTCTCAATTGGAGAGGATTTGACAAATCCCAATTTTGTCTTTTTGTGGGAGGTAACCTCACTAAGATAGCATATTCATCATATTATAAAAAATTTTATTTGATAATGCTACAATTTGAGCTTGAAACAAAAAAATTACAAATTGTAATATTCCAAATTCCAAAATATTAATGAAACAAACAACATTTTAGAAATCCCAACTCATAACATAACACCTATTAATTTTAAATCTCATGGTGAAATACATATCCTAAAATTATAGGATTTGAAACAAACAGCCCCTAGGTATATTAATTTATAAATATTGTTATCATATATATTATTTTTTAGATCTTATTAATTAAGGGATGTCAATTTATAGGATAAATGATATTTTAGCGCATTATCTCGCACACAAGGGTTCATTTCGACAACGAACGCCCAAAAAGCAGGTTCCTATTTTAACTCCACTTTTTGTACAGCGCCCACGCGCGAAGCAATAAATAAATTAAATAGATAAATAATAAAGCACCTACCGTTCCTCGCTATCTCACGTTCTTTATCAGAATTCCAAAAACAAAACCCCAAATTAAAATAGAAAACAACGAAAGAGACAAATTAAACGGCGATCGCCATCACAAGCTCCAGCGATCAAACCCTCGAAAAATCCCAACATGGATTCTTCGTCCTCCTCCTCCTCAACGGAGCCAAATTTCCACGATTTTCTTGCTCGATTGCGCAATCCAGCTTCTGCCGATCTCGTCCGATCCATTAAAAGGTCCTCTTTCCGATTAATTCTGTTTTCTTTGTTCTTTTGGGTCGTTTATTAAGGCAGAATTGTCTGGAAGTAGCTGTTGTTTGTGTTTGTTTGATGTTTTTCCGGGGTTTTGGCTCTTGTTTGAGCAGCTCCCGTCGCGTGTTTGGAATTGAATTGTGTTGAGATATTACGCGTTACGTTTTCTTGATTATGACATGAATTTTTTACTTTAGAGGTCTGAATTAGATGTGGTAAGCTTTGATCGGTTGTTGGATTATGGATTTTAGTTAATTCAGATAATTGAACTTTTAGGATTTTCATCTGAGTTTATTTGAATACGAAGAACTGGAAATTGGTGAGACGTTTCAATCTTGTTTCTTTTGATGTCCTTGTCCAGGATCAGGAGATTATATGATGCCAGGTGTTTAGTTTTATATTGAATTTAATGTTGTAGAGTTTCAAAATCTTCTTTTGATTATCTGCCTTGAAAGAAAAAGCTTACTTCTTTGCTATTGAATTTATCCTTTATGATATGAAGTTTGTTTCAAGCAGCTGGTGTCTTTTAGATGTAGATCAGGTAATTGGACTATTTAGTTGTGATTCCTATAATTTCTTCTATTGAATTTCAGTAAACCGGGGATGCCGGATTCTTGATGGTTTTCCAAAATTGTTTCCTGGGCATTCTTTGCTGCTTGATAACTAATACCGACCTTTTTGTTCCTTTGATATCAGAGAAGTTCCTAAACTAAGAGATCAAGTGGATGGTTAAATTTGATGTGACTGAATTAATGTCTTCAAGTGATTATTGCATCTTATATGCAAATTTTTGTTTGGGTAATTTTATTGTTCTTTATGGTGCTTCTTTCGGCAGATTGTTAAACAGCTCACTGTTTATTGCTTGGATGATTGAATGATTGATCTTTATATTTTATTTTTTTGAAAAATGGAGTCATTTTGTAGTAGTTTCAGTTTGTGCAATTTCTCCTGTTAATGTTATGTTTAACTTTCAGTTTTTTTTGTTGTTGTTTTGGTTTGTTTAAATGAAAATGCTTTGTTTTTCAGTTTTTTTTTTGTTGTTGTTTCGGTTTGTTTTAGTGAAGATGCTTTGTTTAGTAAGAATAACTCAAGATATAGTTGTCTCGATAATGTTTACTTCTTTTTATGTTGACTTTCTTGCAATTCATTTCTCTTTTAATTCTCTTGATAATGTAGCGGTTATAATTAATATTGGTCATTATTTGACTGTTTATGTTTGAGATATCTGCTTTACCTGATTATTCTGTGAGGCAAAAAGCTTCTTTGGACATGTAGCTTTTTAGTGTTTGGACTCACTTATTGCCTACCTTGTTGGTTGACATGTGTCCCCTCTGGTTTCGTCTGTTAAATGGTGATGCAAATTAAAAATTCTTTCAGTAAGCTTGGAACAATAAATCTAAGAACTTTTTATCTAAAAGAAGTAAGTATGTGAATTTGGTGAGACGCTTTATTGGTATTTGTAGTTTAGAAAATCTAAAGACATTAAAGGGTCTTAAAAGATACTTTGTTGCTGAAGAATTGAAAATGATCGTGATATGTTGTTACTTCTAGGTGATTTACTATGTACTTTTCCCTAAACAGAAAAGGTAAATATGTAAGTTAGACGGTAAATATACTTGAATAATGTTTAGCTTCAAAAATTGAAAAGAAATTTTAAAAAAAGTTGATTGTTCTGTAAGGGGATTATCGTTGCAGCTAAGAGCTGATAATTGTAGTGAGTTTAATCATTCAGCTAAACAATTAGCAAGGGTTTTATTTTTGCTAGGTGATTTTATTATTTCATTTAAACACTACCCGATAGTGCCGTATTGGACTCCTCAAATTTCATGTCCATGTAAAGACATACGCTCTTCTTTCATTGTTGTTGAATATTCAAGTGTTGACTAGCAACTCTTGTTTAATGGTCGTCCAATGTGCTTGCAATAATAACATTAACACTGTCAGTTTCTTAGCTTTCTCTTACTTTAGATCATGCAATGCATTTTTTTCTTGTATGTAGTAATAAGCTTTATTACTTGATTAAACTATTTAATCTTGATTTTTCTAATTTCTTGTGCTGATTAAACTGTGTATAATTTGCAGCTTCATTGTGTCTTTTACGTTCCATACAACCAATACCGAAAATGACAGCAGAAAGTTGCAAGATTTTCTTATGACAATGAAGGCTAATATAAGGGAGCATCCTTTGTGGATTAATTGCACCGATGAAGAAATAGATAGTGCGCTGTTGAGGTAATTACATGCATGAAAGAACAATCTTAACATTTAGGTGGTGCACATTTATGATATGTTAATGTATATTATATTTATTGAATCCTTATTGCATTGGAACAGTTCTTATCTCATTCTTTGTGCCTGTTGTGTAATATGTCCTTATTTCATCTTTAGTTTATGATGTTAACAATTTGACACTAGCTGGCATTACTTTTATTTTATGTTCACATCATAGCCCACCATCTAAATACAGTTTGCACTTACTTCTAGTGGCGGAGCTGGAAATTTATAACAATGATGTCACAATATATATTTAAAGGCAATATAGTCTAAACTTTAATGAAATACAAAAAATATATGAACTAAACACAATTACAATTGGCTCCTACATGTCTTCAACTCTTCATGTTTTGAAATTGTTGCAATAATAGACTCATTAGAAATACCACTAAATATATTCTCTTCAATATAGTTAAGTTACTATGTTGTCATTCATCTATTGATGTATTATGCAGACACTTCTTTATAAATTTAACTAAAGAATGATATTTCTAAAGATGCCATTGTAATTAATAATATCAATACTAACTTAATAAACAAATATATCAACAGATACACAACATCTTTTTTCCCTCTTTTTATAAAACTATTGCTCTCTTTGGTATATGGTATCTTAGAATTGTGTCTTTTAAATTAATGGATTATCTTTATGTAGGATAACTTTATTTTGGGCTTGGGCCTTTGTGGGTTAAGGGGTTATTTGGTGTCACTTTATAATGTTTTCATAAACTAAGCTTATACGTTTTTCAATGTGACGGTGGTGTCACTTGACACCACACTCTTATGAGTACCTCCGCCCTTGCTTACTCCATGCCAAGGTTTTGAATATTCGATACCAGGGAAATATCAGATGACCAAAGTTCATATTAGATTGTAGATATCGAGGAAATATCGAGGGTATGTAACAAATATTGGATTGCCATATTGAATGATGTGCACATATAATATAATGTCCCAAAATGTAATTTAAACTTATTTAATGAAATCTAAGCATACAAAAATTGTAAATAATATATGTTTATGATCACCAGCCTGTCACGCCCCGAAACTACAGCGAAAATTTGTAAATGCGGGGTGCGTGACAGCAGCGATCCGTGCACGAGATAATTCTTATGCACGGGTCAAGCCTGGCACTTCATATCACATTGTTTATCACAAAATATTCATAAATCTGCTGATGATAGAAGTCAGAGAAACTATATATGTATATAATCGGTACTTACAACCCACAAGCTCACCGTTATAAACATTTTTACAAAAAAAATAAATTGTGCTGAAGGTAACATAAAAAAGAAGAGTCTCTCAGCCAAAAGCTCAAACCAAAAGTTCGACTAGTATGAAGCTACGGCGGATCTGAAAAAAATTTAAAAACAACGGGGTGAGCTAGCGCTCAGTGAGAACATTTCTCACTAGAGTTCCTAGATAACTAACAAAATAGTAATAAGAATAATTCTTAGAAACAACGAATTACAAGTTTTGCATGAGAAATTCAAAGATAGCAAAATACGATCCAAATATCATAATATTATTGACTTTAAAAAATGCAACAATTGTATTTTTTTTCTTATGTGCAACTAAATATACTGTGAAGTTTCTTGAAATCACACCCTTTTTGAATCAAGGTAAACATTAAGACGGAAAAGAACTACTAATTTATACAAACCAGAGAATTATTGTTTTCTCAATTTCACAGTCAATTATCAAAATCTTAATTCTCGATGAGTTATTCATGAATATAAAAGTCACCTCATAGGTCACACGAATGTTACAAATTATAGCCAGTAGCAAGGGAATGCGTAAAACACATCAAATTGATAGATAATTCCCGGGAATCGAATGCACCTAACTCTGTCATAGGTTACTGGCCAAATACAGAGGAGCCAGAATAAATTTTAGAAGGGCTAATACAGAAGGGTCAATACAGATGGGCCAAATAAAGGTGCATTCACCATATGGCAGGCAGAAGTAATCCATAGTGGACTATTTGAGGGCTTGAAAATATCGAGATCACATGTCCAATGAGTAATACATTGCATATCAGAATTTACAAATATTTTCAAATAAAGTTGACAAGGTAAAACTCCTCATTTTAGTTAAAACAGTTTACGGATTTGTACTTTTTCTTTTATCAGATACTAAGTCACGAAAAATCTTTGAATCCGTTAAACTGTTGAAATACATTCCAAATACTTTATCAAAAACTTTCAGATAAAACAATGCCCACAATTATTTGAAAATTGCATGAGAGCCAAATTTATTTTTCATATTTTACATAAAAATCAATTTTGCTTTTCATATATTGTACGAGGCTAACATCGTATTATAGGATAAACCACAACAGAAATAGATCAAATCTTTATATACATGAAAATGACATATTATTTATTTTTTTATCACAAGATAAATCAAATATAATACTCATACAATTTCATATTATAAAATACTAGCGAGAAATGTACTCACCTCTAGTGGACACGATTATCCCAAAATATTAGTCCCTTTGATATCAACCAGATCCTATAATATAAGATATAGGACTAATTATTAACTCAAGACAAACATATATTATAGGTAAATCAATTCATAATCTAGAGCCTAATAAATTTAGATATAAACAATAATAATTAAATTCTACAATACATATGAGCTTATTGTTAATTTTAGCAATTTATCAAAAATTTTATAACTCTCATATACTAGCTTCTGGACTTCCTAATAATTTATGATAAGACAGGGGGTTATAGGGAATTAATCAAGCCAATAGTTATCTTTTATTCTTCAAATTGGACTTGTTTGCAAATAGAGTAATTGATAGGGGTCTATATGTAATTATTTTGTTCATATATGATCCTAGATTTTTCTGTTAGTGTTTATTTACAATCTTTGTGGCTTTTAGGGACTTAGAATGAATTATCCTCCACCCAAGAGGGTTTGTTAACAAAGCTAAAAATAAGTAAGGGGGTTTTTATAAAATTTTCTCCCTTTATATGAATTTCACCTAATTATCTTCCTTCTTCATATGTTCTTTCCTTTCTTTTTTTTCGGCTGGAGGCATCTGAGGCACCTCTCTCTCCCTCTCTCTCTCTCTCTCTCTCTCTCTCTCTCCATGACTACAAGATGGTGACGAGAATCGCTGGCGACCAGGAGAGGCCGACGGCAGACCCTCGTCAGATCTAGGTCAGTATATTTATTTATTTATTTTTCAATCTGTTTCATGCATCCTAAATACATAAAAAAAATCCTTTGTAAACCCTAGATTTTTAACTTCATATTCATAACAAGTTAACTTCCTCATTCAATTTACTATGATTTACTATGAAATTTGAAAGGAGATTATACCTTAGGATCCTGATTTGTTGCCGTGATCTTCTTTTCTCCATTCATAAGCCTTCTATTGATTCAAAGAGAGACAGTTCTCCGTCTTTTTTGTGGGTTTTCTTTGATGATTTTTTTTCTTTGTTTCATTCCTCAATCTCCTGATTTCTCGGCTTAAAGAGAAGGTGAGATGCCGGTAAACTTCTCTTTTTATATATATATTATATAAAAAGAGAAGTTGGGGTTCCAGGGATTAACCGAAAATAACCACGTCGCTTTTGGGACTCTCCAAGAAGCTCTAAACGAGACAGCTCAAGCTGTCGGTAAACTTCTCTTTTTATATATATTATATTATATTATATATATATTTATATATACTAGTATGCCATACGTGCGTTGCTCGTGATGCATATTAAAAAACTACATGAGTTTAAATATTTGAAGACCAAGTAAATTTTCACTCATCAAATTATGAACCCCACATAATAATTTAAAACCCGCCTTGTCAAAACTCAAAGAGACAGGACATCTGTCAACAAATATAAACAATTAATCTAAAAGACACAGAACCAGCTCCACACTTCATATACACTATCATCAGTTCAAGGTGCTCAAAATCAAAATAGAACCATTTGCTGCATATGTCAAAGTTCCATAAGTTACTAATTTTATACTAGGAAAATTATTTCTTTCCTCTCAGTTTCACTCCCAAGACCCTCTCCAGTTTGGTAATTATTTGCTGATTTGGAATTGCCTTTCCTAATGCTTACTCTTGAATCACTTGAGGCTTTTCATGGATGAGCTGCAACATCAAGGATGTATGTTAGTCTACAATTTTCAGCGAGTCATTAATTGAAACCGGATAAAGTGACGAGAAAATACCTGTATAATTTTTGCTTGGCTGAATTTTTATCCATTTGAGCTTGCATTATGATTTTCTTCAGTTCAGTTCGGACTCTCTCACCTTACCAAATTAGGACAAGGTAAACAATACAAAACAAAAAAGGAGCAAGTATTATTACTCATCACCATCAATACATTCCTGTGAAAAGCTCAAAAAAGTATGAAACCTAGTATTCACATTAACAGTGTAGATAATATTCAATGAGTAATTGAAACTTCATGCATGTTTCAGACTAATATCAAGTGGGTGTTGTCTCAAAAGTTATGATGCATGTTTCAAACTTTTGCTGTTTAAAGCAATGAAACAAGAAACTGGAGCTGATTCTGAATTGGAAGTTGAAGTAAATGAAAATAAAAAAATTCCTTGCAAAACAAAAGTCCTGTTGTTCAAGAAAAGAGAACATCTTATTCATTTCATAGTATTTCAATAACCTTTGTTGCTATGTTCAACATGAATGAGAATTTTAACTCATTCAACCTTTGGATTAATTAAAAGTACACGCATTATCACCTGAAGTTCTCAAGAGATTTACCAACCCACAACTAAATATTTGGAAACCAAGTAAAGTAGTACATCTTCACATAGATAACTATGGAAGGAAGTAAATAAGTTTGTCTCCAAAGTCCTAAAATTTATAACGCCTCAATCATGTCCTCTCACTGACCTTGATACCGTTAATTAAGCATATCCCGTGACAGCAGAAGATGTTGTAGTTAGGGGGGGGCACACTGATAACAAT